ACAACAACAACCACAACAACAACAACAACAACAACAACAACAACAACAACAACAACAGCAACAGCAACGACAACGACAATGACAATGACAACGACAACCTCAACAACAGCAGCAACAACAACGATCATAATAAGACTGGTCGCTCTTACTTGCCCGTTTGTCATTCAAAACGAGTTCCCCACACCCTCGATACCCGCCCTTTTTGTCTTCGATCACACCCCCTTTGGGGTGATTAATTCTCTTTGCGGGGGGCGGCGGCTTTGGACAGGCGGGCAAACCTGAACGGGCGGACAATCTTTCGTGGGCGTACATGTGCCCGCCATTGGAACTGGTGTGGGCCCTGCAAAAAGACGAGGGGGAGAACGAGGGAGAGCGGGAGGAAGGGAGGGGGAGGGACGAAGGAAGAGGGAAAACGCCAGGAGAAAAGGAGCGAAGAGGGGGGCGGTTGAGTAGAGGCAGAGAGAGAGGGAGAGAGAGAGAGAGAGACAAAAAAAAAGTAAGAGAGGTAGAGAGAGAGAGGGGAGAGAGAGAGAGAGAGAGAGAGAACAAAAAAAACACAAAAAAAAAAAGGAGGGAGGAGGCAGGAGAGGGGAGGGAGAAGGGAGGAGGGAGAGGAGGGAGAGGGGATAGGGCAGAGAGGCATAAGGATGAGGGAAGAGAGGAGGGAGAGAGGACGGAGGAGAGGAGGGAGGAGGAAGGAGGGAGAGGGAGGAGTAGCAGGAAGGTAAGAGCGTGAACATTCGAGGAAGTCCTTGGCGAAAGCGCCGTTCCTGAAGGAAGTCTCGGGCGGGAGCCCACGACGGGCGGGCGATCCCCTGACGGGCGGGTCGGGCGGGTGGGACATTCAACCGGGATGCCTGACTATGGCGAAAGCGCGATTCCTAAGTGAATTGTGACGGCGTCCTTGGCGCAGCGTGTTTCCTGAGCGTCGAAAGCGCGATTTCTGAATAAATTGCATGGGGATCCCAAGCGAGAGCGCAATTCATGAATAAAATGTGAAAGGTTCTCTGGCGGGAGCTGGGGTCTTGATTAAATTGCGAGGAAGTCTTGATTCAATTGCGAGGAAGTCTCAAGCGGGAGCGCCGTTCCTGAGTAAATTGTGAGGAAATCTCAAATGGGAGCGGGGGTCCTGACTAAATTGCAAGAAAGTCACAGGCGGGAGCACCGATCCTGAGCAAATTGTGAAGAATTCTCAGGCGGGAGCGGGGGTCCTGAGTAAATTTGGAAGAAGTCTCAGGCGGGAGCCGTTGTTGTTGTAATCCGGGGGGCCACGGGCACAGTCTTAGCATCAAGACTTCCCCTGTCAAAAAACAGGGTGCGGGCGTCGAAGGCACACTTTGATTGAGAAAAAACAGCATGCACCGGTGAGGGGGATCAACAATAATTATTCTTCTGAAATTAAAAAGTCAACGACAACAACGACGACCGCAATCTCAACCACAAGCACAACAACAACCACAACAACAATCTCAAACACAACAACAACAACAACAACAACAGCAACAACAACAACAATAACAACAACAACAACAACAACAACAACAACAACAATAACAACAACAACAACAACAACAATCATTTGAAGACTGTTCGCTCTTATCTGCTCGCGTGCCATTCGACACGTATATCCCAAGCCCTCGATACCCGCCCTCTCCGTCTTCGATCGTACCCTTTTGGGGGTACATCTTTCTTACCTGAAACGTGTATTTCGCGCAGCCCCTGAAGCACGGGAAGAGAAGACGGATGAAATGAAGGGACAAAGGAGCAGGCGGGTTGCTGAAGCGCGCGTCCTGCATGAGTCGCGGGGAAATGTCGAGCTATAGCGCGATTCCCAAATAAATCGTGAGGAAATCCAGTCAGAACGTGATTCCTGAATGTCGAGGGCGCGGCGTTTGAATAATTTGCGAAGAAGTCTCACGCAAGAGTGCGCTTCCAGCATACTTTGTGAGGAAGACCCGCGCGAGAGCGCGATTCGGGAATAAATTGTGAGGAAGTATCAGGCGAGAGCCGCTATTGTTGTAAACCGGGGACCAACAACCCAATTTTGAGACTCAAAAATTTCCCTGCTAAAGAACAGGGTGCGAGCCCCGGGAAGGGTGTTTCAATTGAAAAAGCTCAATGTGACCTGGAAGAGGGGGATCAACAATAATTCTTCTGTAAAAAACAAGTTCAACAACAGCGTCAGCAACAGCAACAGCAGCAGCAACAATTACGCTGCCGAGGAACCCCACATACTTATAGTATGACTGGAGTGATGATAGCTGAAATGGAACATGCGAGACTGATGCTGGTGGCCGTTGCCCCGCCGATACCGCTGGTGACGCCGGTCACGCCTTGGGAGGCTGACGCGCCGTGCGAACAACAGCCTGATCCACGGCGACCACGGAAGAGAACGAGGCTGTAGGTAGGCAGGCGGATGGCGCACGACTCTCGACGCGGTGGGCAGGCGGACTGCGGACGCCGCGCTGAGGGACCACCCCCTGAGCATCCCAGAAAGTGCCACGCCTGCTATGCATGGACGACTGGGGCGTATAGACACCGCGGTGACAGACCACACCCTGCGCACCCCTTACGGCCTCGAGAAAGTGCCACGCCTGCTGTGCCTGGACGACTGGGGCGTATAGAGACTGCGGTGAGAGACCACCCCCTGCGCACCCCTTACGGCCTCGAGAAAGTGCCACGCCTGCTGTGCCTGGACGACTGGGGCGTGTAGAGACCGCGGTGAGAGACCACCCCCTGCGCACCCCTTATGGTGTCGAGAGATTGCCACGCCTGCTGTGCCTGGACGACAGGGGCGTATAGAGACCACGGTGACGCACCCCCATGGTGTCGAGAAAAGGCCACGCCTGCTGTGCCTCGACGACCGGGGCGTATAGAGACGGCGGTGAGAGACCACCCCCTGCGCACCCCTTACTGCGTCAAGAAAGTGCCACGCCTGCAGTGCATGGACGACTGGGGCGTATAGAGACCGCGGTGAAAGACCACCCCCTGCGCACCCCTTATGGCGTCGAGAAAGCACCACACCTGCTGTGCATGGACGACTGGGGCGTATAGACACCGCGGTGGGAGACCACCTCCTGCGCACCCCCTATGGAGTCGAGAAAATGCCACGCCTGCTACGCCTGAACGACTGGGGCGTATATAGAGACCGCGGTGAGGGACCACCCCCTGCGCACTCCCGGTGGTGTGGGGAAAATGCCACGCTTGCTGTGCTTGGACGACCGGGGCTAGAGACCTCGGTGAGAGACCACCCCCTGCGCACCCTCTCGGGCGTCGAGAAAGGGCCACGCCTGCCACGCTCTCCGACCCTGGCACGCATAGCGGCCGCCCTCAGAGACCACCCGCTGCGCACTCCCTCTGGTGTCGAGAAAATGCCACGACTGCTGTGCCCTGGACGACCGTCACGCATAGCGGCCGCGCTCAGAGACCACCCGCTGCGCACCCCCTATAGTGTACAGAAAATGCCTCGCCTGCTATGACCTGGACGACCGTCACGGATAGCGGCCGCGCTCATGTACGCGCCGTGCATGTGTTGCGCGTGGGTGAGGCGAGGAGGGAGGAGGGAGGGAGGTGAGTGAGGGAGACGCGGGTGGGACGCGGGAGAGAAAGAAAACCAGAACCCCACCAAGCATGTGGGGAAAAACAACAAATACGACAACGAAAAACACAAAACAAAAAAACACTGCATCGCATGCCTGGGGGAAACGGCATCGGATGCCTAGGGGGGGCGAAGGAGAGGAGAGGGGAGAGAGGGGGGAAGGGACGGGCAATGGAGAGGGGGGGTCGTCGTCGACCTCGGGGAGGGGGGGAGGGCGCAGGGGGGGGTGGCAGTGCAGGACGAGACGGGGCAGGGGAGAGGAGGGGAGGGTGGCAGGGGGAGAGGAGGGGAGAGGAGGGGAGAGAGGGCGGTGAAGGCGAAGGGGGAGGGGGGCGCCGAGGGCGAGGGCAGGGAGGGCGGAAGGGAAGAACGGAGAGGGTAATGCGGAGGGGGGGGGGCGCGAGCTGCAGCGGCCCTACGACAGGAGCAGGGGACAGGATCTCCATCCCTCGCGGTCCTCGCTCTTTCAATCCTCGCTGCCTCCCCTCAATTTCTCCCCCCCTGCGCGCCCTCCCCCCCCATTGGTTTCCCCTCTCGTTAATTTCCCCTTCCACCTCAGCCTCACTATTCACCTTGATCTGCCAACTGCCATCCCCCTTTCCACCCCCACTCCCTTCCCTCCCCACCTTCGTCTCCCCCATCCACCCCACCCCACCCTCCACCCCCTACCCCCCCTTCCCCTCGAACCTCCCCAGAGTTCCCAAGAGCATACTCTAGAACCTCTTAGAACCTCCCAGAGAAACACCTGCAACCTTCCTGATTCTCTCCATCCCTCCCTCCCCATCTCTCATCCACCATCCCGCTTCGATTCCTTCTTCTCCCCTCCAGGAAGGGGTGGCAATATTCATCCATCCTTCCTCCACCACGGTGCACCAACATCCTCTCGAAGCAGGGTGAGTTAAGACAACGGCAACTCAAAATCAGTCCCCTGACCCCTCCTGGGGCCTAAACGCACCAGTCTTCTGAGCTGCGTCCAGCCGTGGCGACGAAATGGCCCCCCGAAGGCCAACTACCGTTGTCTCATGTGGCCCGACTCCCTCCTCCTCCCTCCTCCGCCGCCTCAACCGCCCCCTCGTCCAAGCGCCGCTGGGCCAGCCTCGCCGCCGAGCGCCGCCCTGGCGATCACGTCGGCGTGGGCGAGGTCGGGGCGCCCCCCGGCGACCAGCGCGAGGCCAGCGGTCAGCTGAGAGACGTCCTCCCGCCTGGCAAGCCTCGAGCGAGGGGGGCGGAGCGGAGGCGGCGGCGGACGATGGCGGTGTCGTGTGGACGTGCTCACGCTGCGCTCGAGGGCCGCTGGGGGCCCAGGAGCAGGGAGGGAGATGTTCAAGCCTCACTGGGCCGGGGCATCCAAGAGAAGGACACTGAGGGGGAATGCGGCGTCTGTGCCGCTCCTTGACCTCAGCTGGGGGGAGGAATGGCGAGGAGGCCAGTCGGTCTGGTCTCGCCATATGATCCCAGCCATGCCAGTGAGCAGACACAGGATGAATCGGCGCGCGCGGGCGTCGCATTTTCGCGCCCACGCAGTGTCAAACAGCGCGGACTCTTTGGGACTCTTTGTTAAGCACAGGGTGCTGAGGAGGAGGGAAAGAGGAGAGGGGAGCAAAATGGGCCCGAACCCGCAGAAGAGATCCTAACCGACCTCTCCCCCCTGCATTTCGTCCCCTCCGCAAGAAGGGCCTCGGAGAGAGGGAGGAGGAGGAGGAGGAGGAGGAGGAGGAGGAGGAGGAGGAGGAGGAGGAGGGGAGGAGGAGGGGAGGAGGGGAGGAGGGGAGGAGGAGGAGAGGAGGGAGGAGGGAGGGGGAGGAGGAGGAGGAGGAGGAGGAAGGAGGAGGGAGGAGGAGGAGAGGAGGAGGAGGGACGAGGAGGAGAAGGACGACGACGACGACGACGACGACGACGACGACGACGACGACGACGACGAGAGCAAATGGGGAGCGAAAAGCAGCGCCACGAATCAAACAGACCACACCGCATCGCCTGACCAGGCACGATGAGCTCGCCAGAGAGTCGCGCCGCGGGAAACACCGCGAGCGCTCGAGAGGACGCCGCCGACCATGAGGGAAGCGACCGCATTCGACATGCAAGAGGGGGAGGGCGGCCTTAGCAGGGAAGGGGTCGGGATCGTCCCAGACCTCCCTCCCAGCCCGCCGCTCCGCCCCTGCCTGACCCAGGGCCTCCGCCTCAAGAGGGGCGGTGAGGAGGGCCGAAAGGGGGGGGGGCGGAAAGGGGAGCAGGGGGGGGGTCACAGGCGGCGGCGGCGCAAGCAGTTCCGAACGCTCTCGCAAGGCATCCTGCAACGCCGGCCAGCGACGTCCGTCCGTTTCGCACATCCTCATGGGCCCCAGCCGAGCGCGGTAGTCGCGCGACAATCGCGCGGGAGACGCGCGGCAGACAAGCTGGGCTGAGGAGAAAGGGGAGGAGGGAGGTGAGGAGGGAGGGGACAGGAACAGGAAGGGGACGAGGATAGGGACAGGGGAAAAAGGAGCGGAAGGGAGAGGAGGAAAGGGGAGGAAAGTGGACAGAGGAGAGGAGGACAGGAGGAGAGCAGGAGAGGAGGAGAGGAGGGAGGCAAGGGGAATGAGGAGCCCCTGGAACCCTCTGGAAACACTCGGGAGCATCCGGAGAGCCTCCGAAAACCGGTGACAACCTCCGCAAACGCGCAAACTCCTTCCTCCTCCTCCTCCTCCTCCTCCTCCTCCTCCTCCTCCTCCTCCTCCTCCTCCTCCTCCTCCTCCTCCTCCTCCTCCTCCTCCTCCTCCCAGTGAGACGTTCTACACGTGTTCTGGGGCGTTGATCCCTATGCGTTTGCTCAGCAGCGGCATGAACACGAATATAGATTTGTGTACCTGCGAGATGCGTGTGTGGCGGCATCCAGGTTTTAACACGCGCGCGCAGACCTGAAGCGATAGACATGCACCATGTAGCAGTAGATCGCAGCAGGAGAGTGATACAATTTCCCCAAAAATCGTATCATCCACTGTGCTGTCACGTTTCCGCCCTCGTGCTCTCGAGGGGGGCAGGATTTGTCTGCCCTGCTGGGCGGGGCAGGAGACAGCAGTGGCATGAACACGAATCTGCATTTGTGTGCCTGCGATATGCGTGTGTGGCGGCCTCTGGGATATCGCACACCCGCGCAGGAGGATAGAATACGTGGGTTGTCGGTGGGTGTGCCTTCCACCTTGTGCCGGACATTGCCAGACGAGCTGACAGCATGGACCCGTGCTGGAAAACGTTCGCCTCCCCGCAAGGGATGCCACCCCCCAGCCCAGATTCGATCGGATCCGAAATTGGCATTGGGGTGAGAAGGATATGATAGCCAGTGATTGCTGTAACTACATCACCCCCCTGCTTAGGTCACGAGGTAGGTTCACCCATTAATCCATCATTGTTGAGTTCGGGGTGAAGGGGCCCTCCCGTGCCCTAATAGTCCAGCCGTGCCAATCCTCCTCCTCCTCCTCCTCCTCCTCCTCCTCCTCCTCCTCCTCCTCCTCCTCATCCTCCTCCTCATCCATCAGCATCATGATCATCAGCATTATCATCATCAGCATCATCATCAGCAGCAGCATCATCAGCATCATCATCAGCATCATCATCGTCAGAATCATCATCATCATCATCCCCACCACCACCATCATCATCATCATCATCATCATCATCATCATCATCATCATCGTCATCATCATCATCATCATCAGCAGCATCATCATCATCAGCAGCATCATCATCACCACCATCACCATCATCCGCATCCTCATCATCATCCTCATGAGCATCATCAGCAGCAGTGTCATCATCAGCATCAGCATCAGCATCGGTATCATCAGCATCATCATCGACATCATCATCAGCATCATCAGCATCATCTTCATCAGCAGCATCATCATCTTCATCAGCAGCAGCAGTCGCAGCATCATCATCATCATCATCATCATCATCATCATCAGCATCATCACCATCATCATCATCAGCAGCAGCAGCATCATTATCAGCGTCGGCATCATCATCGTCATCATCAGCACAATCAGCTTCGTCGCCATCCATCATCATCCTCATCAATGATCATCATCACCACCATCATCAACATCAGCATCATCATCATCAGCATCATCATCAGAATCATCATCATCATCATCATCATCATCATCATCATCATCATCATCATCATCATCATCATCATCATCATCATCATCGACATCATCATCATCATCGCCATCATCATCATCAACAACAGTAGCATCAGCCGTATCAGTATGATCCTCATCAGCAGAAGCATCAACATCATCAGCATCAGCATCATCAGCATTCTCATCATCAGCAGCATCATCATCAGCATCAGCATCATCATCACCGACAACAACATCAACGACAACATCGGCAGCAGCAGCAGCATCCACTATCTTCATCACCCTCCTCGTCCATTTCCTCCACCTCAGGAATCGGAGGCCAGCCGCCTCTCGGCGTCCAGGTCGAGGCGCGCCTGGAGCACCTCGATCAGTGGGGAGGTGCCCTCCCCCCACCCTCCTCCTAGAAGAGATGTGGGGATGAGGGGCAATCAGACCCTGCGCTGGGGGCTCACCGTGGCTTCAAGACAAGACGCAGTGCGCTCAAGGGGATGATTCGGCTGATAACCTCTCTTATACCGGCTCTAGCGCAAGAACAACAACAACAACAACAACAACAACAACAACGACAACGACAACGACAACAACAACAACAACAACAACAACAACAACAACAACAACAACAACAACAACAAGCCATGCAACGGTCTCACTGCGGTGCATCACATTCCCTTCATGTGACCGAGGACGCGTGCGAAGAACGGACTGGAAACCGAAGAAGCCAGCGTGTGCTGCGACCCTGGAGCTCTGGACCACTGGCACGAGCAAAACCTGCGGCCAACAGCTACACAAACTGACGGCGAGTGGCTTCGAAATGCAGCTCGCCTTCGCAACGCGCGCATTTGTTGCAAAAGACCCCAACAGATACAGAGATGGCGGTGACGACCTTTTTCAAGATGCGGCTCTACTCCACGTACACTCGCATTCTATGTTTTCAACGAGTACACGGATGGCAAGCAATTCCTTCGCAGCTCAATGAACTCTCAAATGGTACGGCAAGAAAGCTTCATGTGCACAACAACTCCGCGGATGGACGGCGATTGCTTTGCAAAGGGTGCCTGAGATGGACTGGACACTTCCGTGAACTTTCCGATCGTCCCTCTTTCCGTTTCTTCTGGTTCTGCTCTTGCTTGTCTTGGACCTCTCCTCGGGGGGGGGAACCGCCGTGGGAAAGTCCTTCCTGTGCGGTCTGGTTAGGGCTGCCTGATGGGGAACGACAGGGAGGGGGGGGACCAGCTCAGAGCAGAACACATCGACTCTGAATCGGCGATAGGGCCCCGATGGGGGTCTCCTGGGCGGGGGAGGGCTACCAGGCCCTGGGCCAGGCCCCTGTCGGAGATGCATGGGCGATTGGGGGCCGATGCAGTCCCCCCTTGAGCTTCTCGCCCCCCAACGTTGCCCTCTGCTTTTCGTGTCACACCTCGGCCCTCTCACGGCCGTTCGGGACGATCGGGGCACCCCCGCAACGCTCTCGGCGAGGCGCAGCCGCTGGAGAGCGGCCCTGGTGCTGGACAGCCGCCGAGAACCGACGAAGCCATCCGAAAAGGACATCGAACCTCGAACCTTCGTCCCCGCCTGAGCCCATCCCCCCCGAAAGGCTGCCCCTTTTTCGTCCCCCTGGGCGGCGGCGCTCACAAGAACAGCCGGCCCCACGCGGCGGCGGGCCGCGCGTCCGCGGGACCGCGCTGGGCGCCCCGCCGCGCGCGCGCGAGACCGGCTCGTGAGGAGGGGGAGGGGGAGGGCGAGGACGGCAGGGAGGGTCGGGCGGCGTCCGCCGACCGCCTCCCTCTTGGCCAGGCACCTGGCGCCTCGAAGAAAACAATCGGGGCCGGGAGTCTTCCGTCGTTTTCGCCCTCCCCGGGGCCGTCGCCGGGCCTCGGGACCGCCAGGAAGCGACTCGGGATGGAGGACCCGCCCCAGGGAAGTGGTCGAGAGGTCGGGGGCCCGAGCCTCGACAGAAGTCGAGGCGTCGGACGTCTGGGTGTAGATCCTGGACGGGCCCGTCCTGGGCCCAGGACCCCTGACTTCCGCCGATGTGATCGTCCCAATCCGTGGCCCCAGGGTAGTCCTCTGGCCTGGATCCGTTTTTGAGGGCCCCAGGGCCCGAGAATGGGCCCCAGAGCCGCAGCTTCGCCAGCCCCTCAGGATTGTGGATGCCATGACAATGGACACTCTAATCATCCGATCATTGTTTTTGAAATGTGATTAACATGTGTAAAGCATGTTCTAAACATGTTTCAAGCATGCTCTTACATATTTAAAACATGTTTGAAACATGTTTTAGACATCTGGAAGTTATATGGCAGCATGCTTCCTCTCCATAAATCGACTTCCACAACCTCAGGACTAACGCGTCGCAAATACGCACCCGGAGGTCCCTGGGATGTCCTCGGGTAGCCCCGCAAGGTCCAACGCATCAGGTACCTACGAAATGGTTGGAAAACCTTGTTAAGTTGAATCGAGCTCGGCCTCTGGGCTCCAGAGGCCGACCTCGAGGAACACTCCCAGACTGAAAAAGCCATTGACTTAAGTCGGGCCTGTCCCTCTACAGGAGGGATATTCAAAAATAGTCCAAACATAGTCTGGGGACGATTGCTTGAGCAGTTTTCGGTATGTTTGAGCATTTTTCGACTATTTTCTATTTTTCGTCCAGAATCCGCCTGTAGGGTGACATGCCCGACCTAACCATTGGCTCGTCGAAGATCTGGCAGCGCAGGCACCGCCCGAAGCCCGGGATCGGCACGGCCAGGCTCTGGGCGAGGCGGTCGAGCTGGCGCCCCCCGACGAGGGCGCAGCAGCCACGACCGCGGCCAGCGCGCCCAGGCGGCCCTCGAGTATCGGTGGCCCGGTGGCCAGGCAGGCCTCGGCGGGGGTGGGCGGGACGCACAGAGACATACTAATACTGTATGTCCTCCTTGGAGGCGCGTGTCCGACCCGAACAGATAGTATGCCCATCTTGTCGTATATCGTTTCCCGAGCGGCGTGGCCAGAAAGCGCCCGCCACGACGCAGATACTATCAAATTTCTCGGTGCGCGCGTCGCCCCTGGGGGGGCGACGCACATATAGTGTTAAGCATGTTGGGGTGACGCCGAGTGGAGGGCACCGGCCCTCCGCGCAGCGCGGCCGAGGGAGAGAGTGCCGGCGACGCGCCCAGGGAGGAAGCGAGAGGGGGCGGGCCTTCCCAGAAGGCTCGGAAAGCCTCGGGGCCTTCTGAAAAGTTTTCGAGGCCTTCCACGAAGACACAGGAAACTTCTCGGAAGGCCGGAGGGCTTCTGAGAAGCCCCGCCGCCTACTGAGAAGGCCTTATCCTTCTCACTCCCCCCCTCGCTCGCCGCCGAGGGGGGGGGACCCAGACATGCCCGCGTGGTGAAACAAGCACGACGGAAGGTTTTGGTTTTTTTCGGCCTCTGGGGGCCTTCTCTCCGGGCCGCAGGACAATGGAAAAACGACTCGGGATGATCAACTGGCCCTGTGGACCATGTATTGAAGAATCAAGGCATCGGGCGTCTGGGGAGAGGAGGGAGGGAGGCTCCAGCGCGGCAACGCAGAGATGGTACTCAACGCAATAGGCCAGCACGGCAGCTGCCGCCAACCGCTACCACCACCACTACCACGGCGACATCTGGCACGACAGCCAAGACCACGACAGCGACCTCGGCACCGGGCCTCCACGAAGACCACGGCCACGGCCACGCCCACGCTCACGGCCACGGCCACAACCCCCGACGACGGTCACAACCACGACAGCGACCCTGGCACCAGCCGCGACCAAGGCGAAATTGACCACGACGGCCACCACGGCCAGCGACGCAACGACTGGCCTCCACGACGACCACGGCCACGGTCACGACCACCGACGACGCGCCGACCGACCCCTGTCTCTCCCCTCACCCTCCTTACTCCTTGCTGGCCGCCCCTGCTTGCGACCCTCTCCCTATCGTCCTCCTCCTCCTCCTCCTCCTCCTCTTCCTCCTCCTCCTCCTCCTCCTCCTCCTCCCCATCATCATCATCATCATCATCATCATCATCATCATCATCATCATCATCATCATCATCATCATCATCATCATCATCATCATCATCATCCCTTTTCCTTTTCCTTTTCCTTTTCCTCCTTATCCTTTCCCGCCTCCTCCCAGGAGCGGCGTGGGCTATAGGCCTAGGCCCAACAACGGTCCGAGGCTGGCTCGCGGGCGACCTGTGCAAGCCAGGCACAAGCCCAATGGAGCCCTCAGGCTAAAGGCGGATTCCGAGCGGGCAATCGCTCTCCGTTTAATTTGAACCGTCACTGCGTACCCCAGAGCTGACCTCGCTATACGCCTGGCCGCGGTGGCCACCCGTCCTAAGGCTGGACGGGTACTGGGGCCGCGGGATGGGGAAGAGGAAGGAGTGAGAGACGGAGGGAGGGAGGGCAGGCGAGAGGGAGGACGGAGGTCAGAGTGAGCACGCCGCTCGAAGAAGGACACAGTAGGGGGATGTTGGGGGAGGAAGACTGTGGTGTAGCGGTTGGTCACACGGACCTGCGGCATCCAGACAAAATTTGTGTGCTCAGCCCACGGGGATTAGCACAGATGCCGACGTCTGCCTCTAAGTGGCGATTCTGGAAAACCTCAGAGGAGGAGGAGGAGGAAAGAGGGGCAAGGAAGGGAGGGCGAGGGAACGAGACCGGAGCGGGAGGCAGGAGGGAGGAGGGACGAAAAGGATGACAAGCAGGTTTTTGTTGAGCACGACCGCTGCGCTGCATGCTTAAAGCACACTGGAAGTGTCAGAAAGCAAAGTG